AAAAACGGCGGTCCGCCATGATGGCTTGCAGTTGTTGCTTCGCGTCCGCCGCTTTGTTTTTTCCTTTTCCCGGGGGGGTAGGAGCAGTGGTTGCCACCCCTCGCCGGCGGAGTGTTGGTGGCGGCAGCGCCTCCCGTGGTAACATGAGTGTTCCCCGAGATGCCAGGCAGCAGCACTATCTTGCTGGAGAGCAAGCCTCCACCGCCTACGGCGGCACCGAGAGAGCCCGTCTGCTGGAATTTCGCCGGGGTTTTGGTCTGCCGGCCACGCTGGGTGGTCGTGATATCCATGTCGGTGTCCATGATGTCGTGTTTTCCGCGGTTTGTGTTGTGTCGTCTGTGTTGTCTCGAACTGAGCGCTACGACTCACGGACGACGTCATTTTTTTTGACACAAGTTGCACAAGTTCACGTCACACGTTTAAAATGACTGCACACAGGTTCCAAGTTTTTGAAAGACAACTGTCGAAAATTTTGACAAAAAAGTCGGTCCGTTTGAAACGGTCCTAAAACGGCCCTAATACGGGTGGCAACCTCATGATACATAGAACAGCCGCAAGCCGTTGATGTTGAACCACGCAAGATCGAGGAAGGATCCCCGCGATATGGGGGGGCGCATGTCGGCTGTGCGACGTGTGTTTGTTCAGGGGGCGCAAGACGATACGAGGATCTCTTTTTTTTATGGGCATTGAGCAGTACCCAGACCAGCTGAAAACGAATCCGAAGGAGAGTAGCAAACAACTCTGCTGCCAGGAGCGTGTGGTGTTGGCCAATCGCTCTCGGGTGGAGTGTGCACCAGGTAGGTGTGAGGACTGACCCGCCGCCGCGCCCACCGCAACCCGCCAAGAGGGCCCCTCGTGATACAGGAAACCGCCGTCATTACCACCCACACGCTTTCAGCTCCGAGGCGGCCATTTGCGAAATATGTCAATAATTTCAGCAGGGTAGGAGCTGAGTGTTACTCGGTGTGATCAGCGTAAGGATTAAAACCACGGCAGAATACATCCCTTCATTCACTCTCATGCGATGGATCGTGGTTCAAATCCGCTGGGGTGGTGGTTTGGAGCGGAAGATCGGGAGACAAGGAGAGGACCACAGCTGCATGTTTGACATCCCCCATTGCAACATGCAACGTTTTCGAACTCCCTGCTCGTGATTGCGCCGCATTTTTGTGTTCGGCGTCAGGCGTCAAGGTAACGAGCAGCACTTTGTTGCACACAAACACGATGCCGCGCACAAGGCCAACACACCCATACCTGGCACCAACAGACCTGACTGTTGGACGTGTGTTGCTCGTGTCAATGGCGGTCTGTCTGCTGCGAGCCGCTGGGCTTGGAGCCTCCCGTTCTCTCGCCTTTGTGGCGAGACATCAGCACCCGTGCTCTGCGGCGGGCAGGGGAAAAGCTTGGTGCTCACGGGGCGGCCGCGGCGGCGGCAGCAGCGCCAGCGCCAGCAGGTGAACGGCACGTACTTAGCGTCCGGAAAGACATGTTTTGTTTGGGGTGTTTAGGCAGACCTCGCGAGCACCGGCAAACGTGTTGCGGCAGCGCGCAAGCGTGTCGTGGAACCACCACAAGGCAGATAACATCATCAGCTCAACACAAGATACGAAGCTGTCTCCCGCATGCAACGGATGGAGTAGGAAGTAGGCCCAGTGCGTGACGAGCGATGTATCTACTACAGAGGTTACTCTCCGAGTTTTGCTCGAAACATCTTGAACCAGTATGCGAGCACCAGTCACTGCTGCTGCTACTTCCTTGGCCCACGCTGCACGCCACAGGTGTTGACTATGCAGGTTAAACCAACCGCCTACTGCTGTGCCCGCCTAACTGCAACTAAGTTATCCACAGGCGTCAGCGTGTTGTATCTTCATGTCTGACGGACGGTACAGTAGTCTCCACCAAGCTACGCATTCGTGGGCAAGGAATTGTACCTGAGATAATTGACGAGCAAGGCAGATGCGTCTATGGGATTGAGGGTATCGTTTTAATGTCACTGCAACTGCAACGACAGAGGAGGTGTGCTGTAGGGTGAGACGGGAACGGGGGGGTACTGTACGCGTTGGAGGAAGGCTTGTACGCCTTAGGGCTGACTCCAGTGGCGGAAGGGATCTGAAAGAGAAAACTCACGTGTTCTTCCCTGCCACACACAAAGTCTATGAAGACACCCCACACGCAGCGGGAGTCTCTTATCCTACGATAGCCTGAGCATTCATCTAATTTTCTGGCGATGTCGGGCCTCATCAGGTCATCCTGCGACGTCGGGGGCCTCAATACTCATCCGATACAAGCAGTTCACTACTTTGGCAATATGAAGGCACCAAGGCTCTAACAAAGCCCAGAGGATACCATTCTGGTTGTAGGACACGAGAAAATCGGATTCCAATCGGCAATTCAACCAGGCGTTTCGTGATACAAATATTTCTGTCTTGATCCCTTTGCCTGCCCCTGCCTCCTACAACCGTTGCCGCTCACCTCGGCGCATAGCGCAATATGCAAGCCTTCGTAGGTACATCGCACGAGCGTGCAGTGTTAGTGTTGCATGACGCCATCGGAACCCCCAAAAAGCGAGTCGATCCTCGATGCCAAAGCTGAGTCTAGACGTCACGCGAAAACCAATCGCACGGACCGCCCGCAGCGAGCAACCGTTTCAAACGCGTCGCTGCTGCAGGCTGCTATCCCCAGTCCTGTACGCCAAACGTGTGTTGTACGGTGCATGGTTTTTGTCAATGAAGGGATAGCGCTCGGGCTTTGGGCACGGGGGTTCGCATGGGGGCGGCTATCAACAGAACCGCAATAGCCAAAATGCGCGTGGCGGAACTGAGGGAGGAGCTTGCAAGCATGGGTCTCGACAACACCGGCTTACGACCTGTGCTGCAAGTTCGGCTGATCGAAGGTGAACTTCTAACGATTCGGTCGTCGGACTGCTTCGTGGATGCTGTACATACGTATGTGTTTTTGATGTTCGGAACGCTGCCGTGGCGTGTTGTGCGCCCGGTTGATACAGGTTCATGGAACCAGTCACATTTTCTTGATAATATACCTGGATGCTCTGCTCTTTTTCGTCGGTTATTTTAGAGTGGCAACCCGGCACAACCCCCATCACGTGGCCACAAGGTTGGAAAACCTTGGCGAGGAGAAGGTGGGAAGGATTGGGCTCTTTTCGTGTTGTACATTGTCGCGCCGGTCGACCAACTCGACTGGTTGATGCGTACTGGTATCGACACGACCAGCGCCTCGAATTCACGCCTCCTTGATTCCTCGCCGGCCTTTTACGCAGCAAGACTCGGGGTCTGGGGTGAAGAAGTAGGCCGATGCTTGACGGCGTATTGGTGTGTTAAGATGGGACGTGTCGTGGTAGTTGACATCACACTCCACAATTCTGTGACTGTATTTCAGGGTTCATTCTACCTATCACACGGTGTTCGTTATCTTGTATCTTCGCATCTCGAGAAAATATTTGTTTTTTGACGCAATGACCCGCACGAAAACCCTGACATCCCGTGGTGCTGTTCCGCAGTTCGCACAGGCAATGTGGCTTTTTCCGCGGTTGCGGAAACAAAAACCACAAGTGTCACGTGGGAAGAAACAACCTAGTCGGAGTTTTTGCACCGCTTCTACTCCGACTCCAGTAGTCGCCCAACGCGAGCAATCCGACCAACAGCGGTCCTGGCAATACCAGGGCCATCACATCCAGCCATCCCGTCGTCTTTTCCACACGAGTGCGTGCACCCATCCCATTTCGCCAACACTGACCACCAACACCCCCCCGCGATCGCCCACGCCCCTTTTTGAACAGCGAAGGAGACGGAGTGGGCGCAGGCCGTCATCGATCGATCCCGTCAGCGGGAGCGCTCCAACACAACCGAGCCGCCGCGTGCCGCCGGGACGAACGCGCTGCCGAGGCCCGCGCGATCGCAGGTCGCGACGAGCCAGGCGGCTCGGACGCCTTCCCCGCGACAACAACAACATCAACAACATCAACGCGGGATCAGTACGAGTAGCACCAAGCCCGGACGGCAACGATCAACCACGCACCTACTGCAGTTCGACGGAGGATCGAGAGGAAACCCTGGGCCGAGCGGTTGCGGTGCCGTGTTGTATAGGTGAGCGGTTGGGGAGCGCTAGCGGCTCGGCACCCCGAGCTCGGTCTTTGCGCGCCCCGAGAATCGGAGAATCGGGCCCTTGCTGTGCCGTTCAGCTTTCTCTTAAATGGACTTGCCTTCTCTGCCCAACACCTGTGCGCTGCCCCCCCTGGTTCAGTGCAGCAGAGTAACCTGCATGGAGCGCGTCCCCGCGACTGTTCGGCGCCACGGTATATCCCAAATGCTGTAGTTGCGCATTACGGTGTTGCGCTTCGCATCCTCGAGTCCAGCTATTTATTATAATTGTTTGTAAGTTTTCGACGACGACGACGTCGTGTCACCCCCAACGCATATCGCGCCAACTGCTATATGTTGGCTAACATCGCCGATCGAAAGCTTCACCCACCTACGCTTCGTCTTCCCTGTCTCCGGCATGCCTCGTCGTAAAACCTTGCACTCCTGCGCCGACTGTCAAGGCTGGACGAAAGCGGGGAGCGGGAAGAGGTGTGGAGCAGCAGCGTGTGGATTGGGGAGAACCGAACCAACAACGAGGCCGAATACAAGGGTCTGATTGAAGGGCTTATCGCTGCGGAGAAGCTAGGAATCAAGGTGAGACAAGACTCCTACACTAGAGTAGATGCTGGTTTTCATCTCGCTCGTGTTTTTTATTGCTCGTGACATGTGATGTCGAAGTCGTTCCAGACAGGAGGACACGCAGGGGTAAAATGGTGTGTCATTGATCTGCCTGTTGTAGCGCAAAGGTTGGCCGTGATTGCTTCCGGTACGTGTGCACGGGGTTCTGATTCCGTTGGCCAGGCGTGAGAGAAGCAGCCTGCAGTATCTCTCCATGTTGCGCTTGGCCGGGGACACGGTAGAGAAGATAATATCTCACTCGAACTCAGCGGGTGCTGACGTTGGTCAGTTTTTCAACAAGATAATTTTGATCTGTTATGTGACAGTACCGAAGCAGCAGTTGGAGTCGGCGCACACCGCCCAGACCAACTTTCCACATTCGATTGCTCCCTCCACAACCAGAATGCTGCCAATTGCCCCAGAAGCAGTGGCTTCGGAAAGATTTCGTCGAGAGCTTCCTTCGCACGTATCGCTAGGTACATGTTCGCACCCTTTTAGTTGTGGAGCATTCGAGCTTTGAAATTCAGTCCGTGCGCGATGGCTCCTACTTGTCAGAATATTCCCGGGCGTTGCATGCGCGCGGTCATACCCTATGTGGCACAAGATTTCACACCCTTGATCGATTTGTAAAGCTCGATTTCTCCACGACGAAGAGGACGTACAAACCAAACGTCACGTTTTCTGAAAGCTCTCGGCGAGACGGTTCCAACATCGCCATTTTTCGGCACCGCCAACCTTTCTGCTGTGGGTTAATCGAGCCTTGAAAACCGATCTAGGGGGTGTGATATCTTACGTCATGTCACCCTGTGTTATGCGGGAGGCGTGAACAATTGAAGAACATGGGAAGGAATGAAGAAATGCAGGCTAAAAGAACAAGTTGGAAAACTAAACCACAAAAACAGAGGCTCAATCGAGATTCCTACACTACATGAAACCTATTTCGTCGACGTTGGGTTACACCGGCGGAGAAACTACGACACGACCCTAGGCCAAAACAAGACGTTGTTGAGTGGTGGCGCCGCGGACTGCTGTGGGCTATTCCGTTTCTCATTTATTTCTGCTTTGAAGATCTGCTTGACTCGCACAGCAAGCGCCGTTCAGGGAGACAGCGATGGGCAACGTGTTGGTCTATCTCATTCCGCCGCGGCAAGGTGTCGTTGGCGTCGGCTAAACAGACTATCACTCTCCAAGCCCCAACTGCCCTTGACGTGCTTATTCGTTGTTGCCACAACCATGGGTACAAAAAATGAGTGTTGACTACATTGCTATCTACAAAAGCGCGTGTTTGATCCAGCAGTCGAGCTGGAAGCCACGATTGGCGCGAGCATACGCGCCTACCAGTCGAAGCATGATGGAATGTACGAAGTAGATATCTCCGACTTGTGCGGCGTGAGAGTAACCATGGCGTGTTTGATCCGGCGGTATTCTACAGCTGTACAGCACCGTTTCCACTGAGGTATTCGAGTGTGCGCGTGCCTAGTGTCTCTACGATTTCCACGCGAGATTTTATCGCGTTATCGTTGTTGACCCGTCGACCTCGCCTATCGTACCTGATTCCTCGCAACGCCAGCGGCTGTCGGTGGAGGGAGACTCGAATCTAGTTATTCAACAGATGCTTGGAAACTACAAGGTGAGTCCAGAGACCCGTTTCCACGTTTGCTGTTTCTAAGCTTGACCATCTCGTGCGTCAACCATCGGTTGCGGTTTCGAACCACCCTGCAGTACCTTTCTTGGGGCAACCGCACCTGTTGACGTCGATCCCATATGCAGTCGAATGTCTATTTATTATCATGAGTAGTGCGTAGAGGGGAGCGTAGGGTCCCAGACTATCTGTAGTTGATTTCAATTGGCTCTCGGACCCTTCGGGTCCATTTGAGTATACCTTTTGTAGGTAAGTTAGTCCGTGACCACGGGAATCGACCGGTGAAGTGTTTGATCAGTACGGACAGATGAAGGTGTTGGGTAGACAGATCGGAACGAAAATACCATTCTCGGCTGCCCTCCGCTCCCGAGGGCAACGGAAGGGAAAGCAAGGCAAGACAGAGAGAGGAGGAGTTGGAGGAGGAGGAGGAGGAGGAATGAACTCATACACACAGAACCCAGCACACGTTCTTTGTAGGCGAATAGCCCAACACACTCGGTAAGCTCCCGATCCACACAAAACCGTCACTTTTGGAGAGAACACAGCGACAGCCTTGACCTTGCCTCTTCTCACCTGAAGGGCCTCCAATGCGGGGTGACTTGTCCGACAAAACACGGGAGTTCCTGTGCTAAATATTTGTACTAGAAGGCTAAAGTATTTCACAAGGCGGTACAAGGTGCTGCGCGCGTAAGGCTTTTGAGTACGTGGAATGAATGTCTTGTGGCCACGGTTGGCCAACGCTGCCGTTTTTCGTTGCACACACGAGCTCGAGGGCCTTGACTGGTACACATCTCCGGCTGTCGTCGACTCTCGCAACTGCTTTTTTTGTTAAGTCAGGAGAACCAACCTTCGTTGTATCGCGAGAAGGTTGCGAACCGGTTGCATGAGCAAACGCCCCATTTCCCTTCCAAGTGCACAGCAGCAGTTGTTGAGGGTACGCTCTCATTGAGTGCGTTGAAACCAATGCCTCTTGTCATGGCGAGGTGTCGACACCTGCTTGGCTGTTTCTCTTTGTTGTTGGTGACGTATACCTCTCCCCTGCCCCCGTTCTGCACTGTAACGCTGCTGCTTCTCTCATGCAGGTTACGAGCCCAAAGATGCAACCTCTGTTTAGAGAAGCTACGACTATATCGAAAGCCTTTGACGCGCTGGAACTGGGGCACATACTGCGAGCGCATAACGAGCGGGCCGATGACCTAGCGAACATCGCCATGGATACCAAAAAATCCAGCTCTTACACCCACCGGAGTTATTCCACCGACTTCGCTGAACCAGAGGAGTAAGTTAGCGCTGAGCACTAGGAAAAGTTACAGTGTGGCACTAAGAAGGGTCAACACGGTTGTGAAAATAATGGAGCAGTGGCGACCACACGGGAGGAAAATGAAAAAAGCGCTGCAACAGGCAGCAGGAGTGCAAGACGTTTATGTGGCGCCTCGCGTGTTTCGCCAAAACAGCATCCTTTTTGGACGATTTTTTTTCTCGTTGTAGTTGTCCCCTTCACCTCATTCTCTGGACACTTTTTCGTCCCTTTGTCTTGAGGAGTGTCAAAACAAAGCGGAGAGGAACATCGCCATTTGCGAAGAGTCGAGAGTTTGGGCCAGAATCGCTTCTTGCCAAATGTTGAAGTTAGCCGTCTTCCCGTCGAGGTACACCCTGTTGTGCATACTGGACCGATCGAGTCGCGACGTTGGGTGGCGGCACATACATTATGATGGGACATCCGGCACGTAAACACAGGTCGTTTTTTGCGAAAATTTTGGTCAAGCAACGCGCCTAGGAGGAGAAGGAAGCACGAAGTGTAATTTGCGAAACCAACGCTTCGACAACGATCTGTTTCTCGGTCCAACAGAGTCTTTTCTCCTTTCTCGCCTGTGCAAGGCTGTTTTTAAGACGGACGCCGCCTGTTAGGACCAAGGCTATTAGCACCATGCGGTTCGGCGAATTGCGAACGAAAGGCGTTGCATCGATCCTTGGCTACATTGTCGCGGGAACTTTAGAACAGCAGTAGTGAGGGACTCTTTCTCGATTCCGTTCACTCGTTCGTTCATTCTTTCCCCACATAGTTTGCCAAGATCCACACAGAAATAGAAACACAGAGCGTACTTCCCGCATGGCGACACGCCCACCCTGGCTTGCTTGACGACAGTCACACCGACTAAACTCGGCGCTTACAGAATTTCTGAGCATGCCGCCGCATGTTGCTCCCGACAGGTGTCCACGAGTCAGTAACCTCAAACCAAGTGGTGAATCGCAAGGTCCACGGGGCGCGGACTTTAGCTCGTATCACGCCTCGCCGTAAACAAACGTTTCTTCTGGAATCTGCCTGTCCCACAACAAGCCGGTAAATTACCGTGCCGTGACGCCGGAGAAGTCACAAGACGTCACGGTGGTGCGGTCGACGCGTCCTTCCCATCAATCAAAACACACATTAAGAGGCAGGCAACAAGAACACACTTCGATTCGCAAAAAGAACGCACCCCGACTGGCCGCGTTCGAACGACCTGCGTACGACGAGGGTTTTGACACCCCCATCTCTGTGCACTGGGTCCACAACTACGGCAGTTGTTTGCGAGGAGCACAACGGGGGCATGGCAGCGACGCAACGGCTCTCTTGCACTAGCATACAATCTCTTCAAGCACTTCGAAAGAGCATGTACCATGTATCCAGTGCCTCCTTGCGGCGAGTGTTAAAAAAAAATAGGGCATCATATCAAACCACCACCGCCAACAAAACACAGAGGGCAGCAGCGGCCGACAGAGCTGCAATGCCACGTTCGCGACGATGTCGTCCGAGCAAGCGTGAACGCGACACGTCGCCATGACATCAATGCAGCAGCATCGCCGAAGTTTCGCGACAAGAACGTCAACGTTTGCGGAAAAACCTCGGGACTGAACGAACAAAAGCCGCTGGCTGTTGGGAGCAGTGCTTCACATGCGGGGCACACCAACCTAGTCGTACCACCAAAACCTGCGACCTCTGGTTGTACAGCACTACCCAACAGCAGAACGCGGCGAATGAATCGCTCACGAACGCGCGGTCCCCTCTGCTCCGCGCCGGCCCTTGCGGAAGCTTAAGTTTGCGGCTGTCGATTCTAAAAATTGCTAGTCCATAACTAGTGCACGCCTGCCCCACCCCTTCGGTTTTCGGTTGGTCAGCTAAGCTCGGCGAACGTTGCTCCAGGTCACAGTCAACACTGCTGTTAGGGCCTTTGCACGAGCTGCGGCTGCCTTCCAACCGCGTCCGGCGTGAAACAAAACAGATTATGCTGCGCTTCCGTTTGTGGCAGCGGCTGCTTGCACCGCTTCATCATTGCCAGTTTCATTGAAGACTCTGTCGTTGAATTTGTCTTCGTCCCAGTAGGTCACCTCCACCTGGATGTTTCGACAAACACGCACAAAGAAAACAGATGCGGAAATAACATGCAAACGATAGGTTCAGGGAGCTGGTGCAAAACAACGTTGCCGTACACTCATAAGGAAACATGAAAAAAAAAGGAGCCAGGAACAGAAAAAGGATGAGGGAACAGTCCTTGACATGCGGTTCAAAACCAAAGGCATGGATCTTAGAGGCACCTTGCGGCCGTCGAACGTCCTCGCCCTGAGGCTAGCCGCACCTTTATCTTTCATGTCATAAAGGTTGTATGTTGGGTACTATTCAGTTACTTGGGGGACGCCGTATCGACTTCAGAACGGCAATACACAACGAACGGTTGGCACCTTGCGGCCGTCGAAAGTCCTCGCCCTGAGGCTAGCCGCCGCCTTGGAAGCCGAGTCCACCGCATCGAAGGCCACGAACACATACCCCACGCCCGGCTTCTCCGCCTCGCTTGTCGTGCTAGGGCGGGGGATGTGCACAGACTTGACGCTGCCGAACTTCTCACATTCCTCCTGTGGGCGAAAAAACGACAAAGCGGCGACAGGACAAGGGTGGAGGGATGTGAGAAAGGAACACATGTACCTGATACACGACTGCAAACGGGTGCACAGGACGACGGCATAGTTGAAAAAAGAGACCGACAGATGCACAGGAACGTTCTCCAAATAAATTGTGTGATTCCTTTCCACGTCTTGTTGCGTAAAACACTGCCGAAAGGCTGGCTGGCACCCACAATAAGATCGAATCAAACATGCACACATGTAGAGATCACCTAAAGGCTACCAATTTCCCAACGTCTGTAGAGGATTCCATCTTTTTCACGTTGTCGTCGACGAAGAGATACACACGAGATCCTAGAACATGGCCTTTAGAAGCGCCCTCTGTTTTACGCCGCACGGAGACGGGTGTCCAATCATTGGTCAGGCGGTTGGAGTTGTGGGTCCCAACAGTAAAGACACACACTCCATTATATATATATTATATATATATCCGTTACCTTGAATGTCTAACATTGACGTGCGTTTGGAATCAAAGGATCAAATCCCCTGATTTCTCCACCGTCTCCTCTTGAATACTTATAAAATTATCTTCGGAGATAGCTCCTACTACTCTCGTTTGCCACATTGTCTTGCAATCGCGGCGGGTCTATGATAGCTCCCTGCGATACGATACACCAGGAACCGCCGCCGTTTGCGGCCCGACACAGGCCTCTAATACTGCTGTACGTACATCTCGTTTGTTGGGGTTTTCCGGTTACACATCTGGCTTAAAGAGGCAGGCAATCATTCCTAACTTTTCGGTGTGACTACGGATAGGAGCCTTCTAAACGGCAGAACGCTGGGTGTGTGGGCGCTGATTAAAGGTGACGATTAGTACAACTGAAATCCTACACTACCGTAGGAATGGTGAGGCACGGAAACGAAGAACATGAAAAAACGCTCGCGTGTGACCTTCCTCTTGTGTGACCCCCGGCTGATACGTCAGGTACATACACCGAAACGCGTGTACAGTAGACTGGCGCCAGAATATATGACACGAAGCAATCATTCTTAACCCTTCCGTGCGACCACGGATTAGAACTCCTACACGGAAGAAATGCTGCGACTGATATATATTGATGAAAATATAATAACCCACACCAACTACTAACCTTGGTCTCCTCCTCGATGTCGCCGAAGCTGCTCTCGTCCGCGAGGTCCCCGGCCGTGAGCATATTGTTCAGCCGCAGCGTGGTGGTGGGGCGGGGCATGTTCACCACGAGGGCGGCCACCGCAGCCTGCGCAGCCGCCTGGGCCGACTCGATGCCGCCGAAGGTGGTTGCCGGGGCGGGCAAAGCCGCGGTGGGGTTTCCAGATGTGAACCTTGAGGTTGGGATTTTCGGGGGTGGATGGGAGGGTGAGTGATGACGAGAGAACAAGACCGGAGTGTTTCTTACACATGTAGATTAAAAAAAAAAACTCAACAACAACACGCGAAACCAGCATCGCTATGGTAGACCCGAGCCACAAACGGTGGCCTCAGTTCAACCCGCATTCGGCGAAATGCCTGGCTACCTCAACGTCAAGGTTTCATCCGACAACCCGTCACCCCAACTGCTCACGCTTGTGGGTGCAAAGGAAACAGCTTCAACCTACGGAGGCGCGGAAAGCCAACTTGTCCACATCTCAATCGTGCAGATCTGTGAACCAACCCACCACATTCCCCTACTGCCACAACTACTTTTACTGCCGTGTTAATTCCGTTTTCTGTACTTTGTATTACCTGGCGAGTACATCGGGCCAGTTGAGGTGAGGCGTGTCGGGGCCGGGGTACTTGGAAGGACGGTTGATCTTCAGCTCCTGGTGATCGGGAAACCATAAAACGTGGAGTGAAAGGGACGGGGCGCGCGCGGATGGTATTAGTCGCAAGAGCACAACAACAGAGTATTAACAAACGTCATCACAGTAGTGCTAACCAATGCGTCACGGGAGCTGCCGCAACACACAAGAGGTCGAACGCCTTCCAACGCTATCGACATCAGGCATGTTGTATGGCCCACGCGGGAGAGGAAACCCGAAGCCCTTGTAGCTAGCGCTTTGCTGCCGGGAGAAATATGGATGCCGTGCGCAAACAAGCTTGCCTCCTTCATGGGCTCGTTGTATCACCGAGAAGTTTCACGGCTAGGGTAATTATTGGACTACGAGAACCGAAAAAACTGCGTAAATGTACATGGCAAAACGAGACAACGGGGATACTTCACAAGCTCCAAACAACACACAGATGGGGAAAAATGTAAACGCACATCACGACAGAGATTCAAGGGGAGTTGATTGGTTGAGTTACACGCTTGTCCGTTCGACTTCAAGTACTTATGCGTCTGTCCCGACTCTCTTCGAGTCTACTGCGTACGGTTCACCCCAAATTGGTGAGGTATCGAACCAAGCCAATGCTTCCCTAGCGCTACGCTAGCACTGCGCTACGCCAAGGGTACGCCAAGGCTACGCCACGCGAACGCTACGCTTCTTCACACCTGTCCCAGGAAAGGGATGTTGTTGAGGTTGAGAAGGGCGGTCGTCTCTTCTACAGTGCGGCACTCCACGAACGCAAAGTTTCCGGACACCCTGGCATGGATGATCGGGCTTCCCTCTTTCTGAGCGAAACCGACCTGGTGTAGAGCCGAGGGGTCGCGCGGATGAAAGGAACGGGGTAGGGGGGGGGTAGCACGTCAGTGGAAAGTTCGGATAACACACACAGGGGGGAGGTAACGAGGCAAGTTATGTCGGTGTATGCCACCACAAAGCATCGAACCTGTCAATGTGGGAAGGGTGCCAGGCAGCTCCGCTACCAACCCCACCACAGGCGACGGGTGCGCTGCTAAACTTAAGAATTGTTTCCCTGACTCGCTTTGACTGCCCTGAGCGTTCGCCATCTCCAGGCATCGAAGCATCGGCGGTAATAAGTTCCGAGATAACTGTTGTAGACACGCCACCAAGGGACGAAGACCGGGAACACAACCCCTGATGCAATCGCCAAATCAGTTTTCAGGTCGAGTTCAAGCGAAGCCGAACAGACGCCATGAAACAGCTCGAGGTGCGGATGCCCTCACACCCTCACACCCTCATTCCGTTTGTGCCTGGTGCTACTCCCCCCCATCGCAACCCCAAAGGAACGCTGCCATCGCTACTCCTTCTCCAACCATCCGCATGATACTACTACTTCCCTCCCCCCAATCCCAACCCTAAAAGGACGTTTTCAAATAGGCCTTGGGTCCGGCCTTCTGCATTACCGCTCCCCTCCGCCCCACCCCAACACAAAGAGGAACGCTTCACTAGAAAAACGCTTTCAAGCGTGCTCTTGGTCCGACCTTCTGCATGGTGCTGCTGAGGAAGTCCTTGAGCACCATGTCCGTCATGTCCGGGCTCGTGTTGCCGATGTAGAGCTCCCTGCCCGCGAGGGAGAGGGGCAGATTTACGGAGAGAAGGCATAACAATGTGGTCGTCGTCCGCTATCAGATATGGACATACATGGCAGTTACAATGCAACAGACAGGGTCGCGCTTTCGAGAAGTCACGCACGTCCTTGTACTCCACCTCAAGCACTGGAGCAACAACACACATACACAGCCCAGGGCCCAGCTCCTTCACGATGGTTCAACACTGGCCTTCAGAAGCGTGTTCCGTTTTAGCCGCGCTGAGACTGACGTATGTTCATTGGTCAGCCGGTCAGCGCGTTCGACGATGCTACTACGTTACAAAAACAAACGCACACACAACATGGTAGATACAAGTGTTTTGTGATTTCAACCGCACTAAGAGTGACGTCTTTTCATTGGTCAGCCGGTTAGCGCGGTCGATGCAAATAATAAAAAAAGCACACAACCGTGTTCCAGCAGCAAAAAACAACGCAACGACCATCAAAAGCCAAAACACAACACTCGCAGAGAGAGAAGAGACGTCTTTCCACGCATGGCTTCCGGATAAGTACGTCTCTTTCAATGATGTGGGCTAGATCCCACTCCCAAGGGGGGAAGCATGTCGTACGATACTACCACTACTGACTATCCTATAAGTTCCATATATTTTTCACCAATACCTTGCTTTGATGATCGCCACTCACCGGTAGACCTTAGTCGAGGGGTCGACGACGTTGTCAGCAGACTCCTGGCCGGTCAGCCGCTGCCAAGTGGACGATGGGGTCGCGGGACCCTGGTACTTGGAGGGGCGGCCGATCTTCAGCATCTGCGAGGGGGGCAACAAAGGGCACAGTAGGGGTAGGGTTATAACGAATAAGGGGAGGGGGGTGTACTCATACTCGTGCATGCCGTAGTCGTTAAACCATTGCCCTCGCATCCCTACGAAGCCGGGACGGAGCACGCCGGGTTCTCACCGGACCGGGCTCTCACATCACCAAGCGCGAAGCGCCGTGAGATATTCGGCGAGTCGCATGAAGGGTGCGGTGCATCCTGCTAAGGGAGTTCGGCATCTTGTGCTTGCTCCCTTGCGTACGGATGACAGCTGCGTATGACTTCATTTACTTTCTGGTGCTTCACTTCCTGAGACAGTTGTAAGCACTGTGTAACTGCCTCGAGGGTGCTTGACCATTTTAACACAACGTGGTGCGATCATCCCCCTTGCGCGGAGTGAGGCTTCTCGACCCCGCACAACATGATCTACTCGACCACCACTATGGTTACCGCCAAAAGAAAAAGCGGTAACCTGGTAGCCGAGTTCACGACGTGAATTGGCTTGTTTTACAACATCATTGCCAAGCGACGAAAACCCAATCCCGATGGCAAACACCGAGGGGG